GCCCCAAACCAGGACAAATACCTATACCATGATGCAATAAATTGGGCAGACTTCTGAGAGTGTCTATAAAAAATCTGGCATATTACAGCATACATAAATGCCTGAAAATTGTTGTTTCTTTGAACACACTTATGGTGAATAAATTCCCGATATATTCTTTCAATTTTGACTCAAAATTATCATTAGGAATGTTTGTCTAACAGCTTTTTGCTGTTAGATTTAAATCTCTTTGTTTCAAAATCTCTCCTACACATACCAAGGACTTCAAATGATACTACTTTTGCCTCATCCTGATTATAAAAGGTTATTGCAATTCCTATATCCTCTGGCGAAAATTAACTCCTGATATTTAGCCCTGTGATGTTTAGTTACATTATGTAAAAACAGCCAATTTTCCAATATTTTCTTCAGAAAATTGAAGCTCTTCTGCTTGCAAGTTACTGTTAACCTGCCACCTCTCATGTCTATGGATAAATCCATCCTTTCTCTTTCCTTGTCAATACTACAAATTATCTCTAATATCAACATTTTAACATTATCCCAGAGCTAAGATAAGAAGCCAGACACTTTAAATCTCCACAATACAGGCGAAATACAAGAAGATTTTGTAAAACTCACTATGTAACAAGCACATGAAGAGTAACAGTAGCACCAGTATCACACTTCACACAATTCTAACTCCAGAAGAAAAGAAAAGTTCAGGTCTCAAGTTGAGAAGTGAGAGTAAAAAGGTATTTGTTTTCAAAAGAACACAAGTAACTTCTCCCTTGCATTGCGAGTCCTCAAAAACATAACACCTCCAGCACAAATACATTCCAGCTGCCTTTCCCAGGCACCAACTCCCTGGCTGATTATGAGCTCCCAAATTATCTGATTACAATGCTCCCAGAGCCACTCCCCACCTGGCTCTATGTGCATTTGATGGGTGCTATCCCACCTTGATCCACACAGCCTGGCTGAGGAAGCTGAACGGCACTGGAGGATTGTCAGGTGCACGTTCCTCCAGACCACTGAAGTCAATCGTGTCCTTGGCAAGTCGGGGCGGTGTCCCAGTCTTCAGCCTGCCCACAGCAAATCCCAGTTTCTCCAGAGTGTGAGCCAGCCCGATGGCTGGCTGGTCCCCCAGCCGCCCCGCCGGGTGCATCTCCAGTCCGATGTGGATCATACCCCTCAGAAACGTACCCGTGGTCAGGATAACACTCCCAGCACGTACTGTGCTCCCATCCCCTGCAACAGCAAGTTTTCAGAGATGTTCACATTTTAGTATCAACAAAGCCCTGGAATCCTGGTGCTTCTGTCTAAACCTAGACAGTGCTCAGAGAGGGTTTATCTGTCCTCTACTATAAAACAATACCAGAATTTCCATAATAAAAGCATCAATAGTACTAACTACAATAAGCAACACATAGTTATCCCTGTATATTTATTATACCTAAACAAGTTACCCCTAACAAAGAAAACCATTCCTGGGAAAAATCCATACCCAGACCTTCACTTTGGAAAGCCTGTTTACTAGAACAGCAAGGGGTAATGAAGTACAAGTCTATTATTAATAAGACCCCACGCTCCTATTACACTGAGGGCAGCATACGCCTTTTACCAAATAAAATCTCAAAACACAGCATGGAATTCAGTATCACTAGCCTGAATAAAATTAACTTAGTTAATGTCCCAGTATACAACCAATCAAGGTATTTTTGACATTGTATTACACATATTAACCTGGTTTAGCTCACAGTTTCCCTAAACCAGCTCTATTGGCTATTTCATCTTTTTCACTAATGAATTAGAATTGTAAAACTCATCTTTCTCATCGGTGAATCAGAAATATTTACCCCAAAGGCTGTCCTTCGGGTGGAGTAACTGAAGGCACTTAGCGAGTTTCTAGCACATACCCAGAACAACTCCTGTGACTTGGCATTTCCCAGGACAGCCTGCTTCTGGCTCTGTCAAGAGAAGATCCTCCACAGATGCCTCACGAACCGTCAACAATGGTGTGTTAAGGATTTCTTTCTGTCATGAAAGGAGTTACTGCAAAAATCTAGGAAGTTATGAAACACCTGGGTAATCCCAAACTCTGCTGATTTCTGAAACTTATAACCCACTTCCATTCTTATCAGGTTATTTGGCAGACGCTCAGTTATGGTACTATACTGATCTATCAGGTAGAAGTTTCCATTCACATGAAGTTTTACCTCAAATAAACTATTTGGTCATGAAGCCTAACCAGTACCTAAAGCACTAGAGAATTTTTTAAACTATGCTGAGTTCCAACAACTTACACTTCATCAAAGTACCAAACAGAAAGATATCTAGGTTCGATCGGTAAATAATGAAAAGCAAAACACGGCCCCTTCCTTGGTACTCCTCAGTGGTGTATCCCGGCTCCCAGCACCCAGGAGTGCGCCGGGCGCGGCCCCCTCACCTGCATGTTCTCCTTGTAGAGGCCGCGGTCGATCTGTGCGCGGAGGCCCCACACGGCCGGGCCCTTGCAGCGGTTCAGCACCTTGTAGTGAACGCCGGAGCGGTCGCACACGCGGCCGCACAGCCCGTCCAGGGCGTCCACCTCCCGCATCAGGTGCCCCTTCCCGATGCCGCCGAAGGACGGGTTGCAGGACATTTCCCCTGGGCAATGACACAGGATCACCCTCAGCACGGCCCAAAGGCTGCCATACGGCGACCTCCTCGGCTAAGCGCCGCTCCCCACGCCGTGGAGACCCGAGGTGCCCGCGGTACCTTCCCCCGCCCACCCCGGGCGCCCGCGGCGGTACCGATTGTGCCGATCTTGTGCGTGAGCAGCAGTGTGCGGGCCCCGCCGCGAGCGGCGGCCGCCGCCGCCTCCGTGCCCGCATGGCCCCCGCCGATCACCACCACCTCGTAGCGCGGCGCTGCCGCCGCCCCGCCCTCGCTGCCCGCCCGGCGGTGCCCGGGGCGAGGTGCCGGGGGCAGCGGGAGGCGGCGGCAGCCGGCCAGCAGGAACATGGCGGCTGGGCCGGCCCTGCCGGCAGCGGGAGCAGGGGGCCCCCGGTAGCGCCGCCGCGGCTCCTCCGCCTCGGAGCGAGAGGCGGGGCCCGCGGGAGCGGCGGGGCCGGGCGCCTCCCCGCGGCCGCCCGTCCTGTGGCCCCGTGCGGCGGGAAAAGCTGGGCGGTGCCGGGCGGGAGGAGCCGCCCGCGAGCGGGAAAACGCTCCCCGCGGATTGGAGGGAGGCCGCAGCTTGGTTGTTGCTGCCGGAGCTTTCCTGTGCCCGGGCTGAGGTCCGCGACGCGGGACAGCGCTTCGCCTCCGCCCCGCTCGCCAGGTTTCGTTTCCTAGAGGCGGCGCGCTGCCTGGAAGAGGAACTCGCCTGCAGCCAGAGGCGGGAACCCCGTTGCTCGCGGGGCCGCGCTCGCCGTCTTGCGGGTGCGGAGAGG